ACACACACACACACACACACACACACACACACACACACACACACACACACAATAACAAGGTTGAGAAAGAAAAAAACTTGGATCGAAGGGTAAACGAAACTAGCTAGCAAAAAGGAAACCAAATTTGCCAAATAGACGCCTGAGGCCTAAGTCAAAGAGGCCTAGCAGTAGACCTCCATCCGAAGACTGGAGGGGGACAGGAGACTGCTGATCTTCGCCCCGAGCGAGGCTGAGGGAAGCCAACAGCTGTGCTTAAATCTGAATAAGGCACTAAAAAGGTTAGCTCGTGACCCAGGGGTCTGTAGAGCTTAGTTCAACCGCAGCTGTATCAGAGAGGAAGAAAAAATGTCGCCCGACCACGAGGCGGCGCCAAGATGGCGGCCGCGAGCTGAGCTATCGTCGGGGCCGCTCGGGACGGAAGGGAGGGCTCCTCCGGCTAGCTCAGAGTGCCCAGAGGGCTGCAATGAGGGAATTAGCCCTCCTCAAAGTCGGCGTTCAGGTGGGGGGAAAACCAGCGTCGCGCTACAGCGCGAAGTAAACAAGCCGCTGAGGCGGCGTGGAGGCAGAGAAGCGATCTGAGGGGGGGGCCTCGCGCAAAGCACTGCGATCCCGCCCGCTTAAGCCCCCAGGGTGAGGGGAAAACCTCCCCCTACATCGGTACCCTTTGCGCAGGGGCTAGGAAAAAGGATCAAACCTTATTTCTTTGAGAGAAAGAACGAAGTGAGCAGCAAAGTGAAGAAAAAGCCTGAATCATCCAAGGAGCCTTATCTGCAAGCAGCCTGTCTTTCCGAGGCTGAGCAAAAACTGGGGAACGTAGCGTGGAGCCACGTGAGGGGGCGGAGCGTTCCTCAATTGAAGCTCAGCCTGTGAGAGAGGACTCTGAAGCACCTCCCACTCTCTGGATGCTCCGAGCGGCTCGAGGGAGAATTCATCGTATTAATGGTTGTAGTGCTATATCATGTTTAGGAGTTTGACAGCCCATGGGTAGAAGCTGTTTTTAAACCTGTTTGTCTGGCTGGCTATACTTCTGTGTCTTCTGTCCGATGGTAAAAGTAAAGAGATGCTGGCTAGGGAGGAATAAGAGTAAAATGAATCTGACTACAAATAAGTCTGACCATTTCTTCAGCAACAAATCAAACCTTTAGTTGTTCTGAACTAATGGAGTTACAGGCAGTTCTCAACCTATGACCACAATTGAGCCAAAAATTTCTATTGCTAAGTGACACAATTGTTAAATGAGTTTCTCCCTTTTTATGGCCTTTCTTGCCACAATTGTTGAATCACTGAAGTTAAGTTAGTAACATAGTTGTTAAGTGAATCTATTTTCCTCACTGATTTTACTTATAAGAATGTTACAAAAGGTGATCCAGAACATTGCAACCATCATAAATATGAACCAGTTATTAAGCACAAAAATTTAATCATGTCACCATGGGGATGCTGTAATGGTCATAATTATGAAAAACGGTCACATCACATTTTCAATGCCATTGTAACTTCAGTTATTAAACGAAGGGTTGAAAGTCGAGAATTACCTGTACTTGAAGTTCTGGCCCTTGCAGTGCCCCAGCAGTCACATGAATAAAATTTGGGTGTTTGGTAACCAGCTTTAATTATGACAAATTTCAAGTGCCTGCTGATGTGATCACCATTTGTAACATTCCCTACTGGCTTCTACAAGCAAAATCAATGGAGAAGCTGTCAAGGAAGATTTTGAGTCATTTAGAAGAGTCTTTCTCCCATCTTCTCTCCGCCTGCGTGCACAGCACTGTTTCCCCCCTCTTCTCACACACACCTTGTGCCCTCTTTTCCTGAGGTTCCTGTGACCCCCCCCCCCACAATCTTACATCCTCCTTTCATGGGCTCCCTGAGATGGATGCACCCCACACCCTCTTTTCTAAGCCTCTCTGCAATCGCACGCATACATTCTACATCCTCTTTCCACGGTCTCTCTGTGACTGTACGCAAGCAAGCATCACACAATCTCCTTTCTTGGCATTCTTAAGCTTGCGTTCCATCACAGCACTCTCCCCCAGCTCAGTGTGACATCTCCATGCTCTTTACCTGGGACTCCCTCTAAACTATTTAACAAATCTAGGGTTAGGACAATGGCCTGCATTGTGGTAGCTAAGCGAAGCAGTCAGCTGATGTTTTAATTACAGTTGTAGCTTGAGGACTACCTTTAAGTATCTGTAGTAGTTAGGCAAAATTGTTCAAAATTATTCTTATACTATATAGGAACTTCCATTTTACAATGCTTATTTTATTTTTGTTTATTTGATTTACATTCTAACTTTCTTTTAGAATATTAAGGCAGCCTATAAACCAAATAGAGATTTCTGGATATCGTGTTAGAAAATTATAACTTCTAAACCATTTTTTCCTAATCACGTTTATGCTGTAATAATAGAATAAGAAATAAAATTACATAAGTACTATAAATAAAATCAGATGTTATTTCTTTCTTCCTTTTCTACACCTTTGGCTTTTTCTTTCTTCTTTTCTATATTCTAAATATCATTTTCATTAGTTTATTTTTTATTAAAATCTAATTGTATATATATATATATATATATATATATATTTCAATATATTAAATTCTTTCTTACCTGCAGCTGCCATGTGCTCACTTGTCCTAATTGGCTGAAATCCAACAAAAGGTATCTGCATGGATAATATTAACCCAACAATGTAGAAAGTGCTATATGCTGTGAATAAAAAAATTGTCAGATTATAAAAGAAAAAAGTTGGTATACTCATATTTTTAGGATTTGTCAAAAATTTGAAGGCCATTTCAGTAATATACATTTATGTCATCAAATATTGACTGGTACATTGACATTTTGGTTCCTTAATTAATTCTAGTATAGAAAAGGGATTTCTAAAAGTCTAGGGCAGTCTGAATATCACTGTAGTGACACATAGAGCGAGATATGATGGAAGACAAAGAGTTGGCAACTCTCAGGGAATGTGTTCTCAGTAGACTGTTTCTCTGATGTGTTCCAGTCTCCTAATCTCAGCCCAAAGATCCCAATTAGCAAATCTCAAAGGAGCCAGGCTTTTGCCTCCTAGTAGTGAATACCTGGTCTATCTGTAATAAGGTTGTCCTCTGCCATGATTTGATCACAGATGAGAGGAGTAACCAGGCAGTCTGAGACTTGGGTTTGGACTGAGGTGGAAATGATGCCTCTCTTGGAGATTTGTCCATTAAGATTTGGATATTTATCAGCGAAGACCCCAGGGTAGGAGCAAGTGACAATGGTATTCAGGACATTAATGTACGTATCAATTATAACTATTCCTAGCCTGGGAAGTTTTGCTCATATGGGAAGTTTTGCTCATAGTCACTCATGCTCACAGGTAGTCTTGAAGTTGATCATTATTACATTCAAATTGTGCATTATCATATTCCAAAAAATCTAGTCACTAATATATACAGCAAATTTTAAATATTTATTACAGTCAAAGCCAATACAATTAAAAATACTCTAAGAGTTTCTAGTTAAAAGTTCTAAAATAATGACAAATAGCATATAATATCTGTTAAAGTCATAATTTGACAGTCTATCAATTGAATATAAACAAAAGCATGATCTAAGATATAATGTAATATTAATCCTTAAATTGTAAAATCCTGTATTACATACATAATGTATATAAGGATACCTTACAATAGGAAACCTATTAATTATCAGGAAAATAAATTTGTTTGAATGTCTCTATAGAGAGAGCAGTGAAAGAGGACATGTTCAGGGGTTTCTATCGCTCCAGAATCACAGGGAAATCACTTTCAACCAATGTTATCCCTTTATATTTGCCGTCCAGGATGGATGAGGGTGGAACATGATATTGTGGAAACGAAAAAGCTTTCTGAAGATCTCTAACAAGCTAAGATAACTGGCAAGGTGAGAGTATATCTAAGAGAATCTGGAGCCAATATACACAGCAGCTAATTTTACCTAATTCCAGTTTGAATAACGAGAATTATTTTCATCTGAAAGTTTGACAATTTATGTAACTTTTACAATTTAAAATGCAAGAAGATATAGTAACTGCAACATTACCATCTTGTGGTGTTTAACAGATTTCTATGACTTTTTGTGTCCTATTATCTATTTTAGTAATTTTAAAAGATCAAGGAATTTGCTTCTATTTGAAAAATTAAACTTTGACTTTTATTAATATTAATGTTTGTTCATATTAAAATACTAATAGATTTTTTGTTTCTCTAAAGAAAGTTGCAATCTAGTCCATTTTATCCATAAATACTTCAAAATTCCCATCAGTAATTATTTTTCATATGATTAATTAAAAACTTCCATCATTTAAAAGAAGTGATTACTCATAAAGGATAGAGCAAAACCTAACTTTAAATCTGGGAAGTAAAGCAAAACCATATTGCTTAATCACTGTTCCTACTTCTGTCCTCTAATTTGTACATACTGAGCACTTTTTAAAACTCCTTTTTCAAATGCTTTTTCTACTTGACCAAAATATTGTTTCAGACTTATATTAGAGAGAAAAAAACGCCAATATAAAGTGAGAAATCAACCTTTTTGGAGTCTCTCTAAATTTTTCTATCAAATGATATTTTAATAAATCTGGGACAAAATTTATTTGGTTCATATTTTAATGTGACATTTTCAAATATGCATTGCTTAGAACTGTATATGAAGAAAACAATTTTCTTACAATAGTTGCACTTTTTTCAAAATAAATAAATACTAATAGAAAAATATATAGGTTATGTATGAATAAAAACAAAAACACATACAGGAAATTTCTTAAAATTCACATTATGGAAAAAATAGGATGTTTATCTGAACGTATAAATATTCATGCTGAGTTTTGCTCTAAAATGTCACAAGTGGATCCCAAACTATATCAGAAAAATTAAAAACTAAGCAAACAAAACACATCTTTCTTTTTAGGCATTTAATTAGATAAATTCCCATAACTCATTTAAGAAAAATATTAAAACCCTTTTTCATTAGGTCTTGATGCATTTAAAAATAATACTATTTCTTAGAATGAACAATGGATCTCAAGGTAGTTGACTAAGTTGCTAAATGGGCAATGAATCTCTCTCTCAGATTTAATAATTTAAACTTTACACAATTTTAATAGGACAAAAAGCATTTTATGAGTTACAAATTTTAATTAAAAATGAAAATTCCCCAGTAGAAAGTTTTGCATAATTAATGGTATGGTTCCAAACCTTGGCTCACCAATTAGTGAAATGTAACTGACAATGCCTTTATTTTTCTATGATTTTCTACACTCTATAAGGAGGCACAGAACAAACTTCAGCTTAAAATTGTTTTGTCTGCATAACTGGCATCTCTCTTCCCAGCAAGTAGGGCAAACATGAACAAATTGTTTCCCTTAACTATGGACTAGAAAGGAAGCAAGTTTTGATGAATGGTTATACAGATAGGTTTAGCAGTACATCAAAATCTTTAGTTTGTTTAAAGTGAACCTGGTCTAAATCTTTTTGCAATGGTATTGCTGGAGAAAATGATAGACCATGATCACTTATGTCTTTTTCTAGTGAAAGTCGCTCAAAAGAGTGTGGCAAACCAGGATATCTTTTAAGTAGTCATGGAGCCTGCTTTGGAAATAGTAGTACCTTCAGCCTTCATTAACTTCACAATCTATTTCTGCAGATTTCTTATACACTTCTACAAAATCCATCAAACAGAAAATCATGCTCTTTTTCTTGCAGTGTTTGTTGTGTTAATAGGTCACCATATGATTCAATAAGAAATTATATATTCTCACACTTCAATAACCAAGGTTTCCCCATTTCTGTAAGTTTTCAATTATGTAACCTGATGTGAAAGTATTGGGGTGGGGAGAATATATAGAGAAGGACAAACTAAAATCAAGAAATTGACACTATTCTCCTGAAGTACACATAAAGGAAATAAAACTACAACTTTCAAAATATTTTTTTTTAAATTAAATCATAAAAAAGTAAAAGTTATAATTCCATTACAAGGTATATTTAATAGTATCTACTGTTTGTTGGCAATACTATTTAACGGTAATTACAGCCTCCTGATTTTATCTCTTCCTCAGCCCTATCTCTATCCAAGTTTTACCCATCTTCCTCTTTCTTTATAGTGTAGCTATCCCTTCCCTTCATCCTATTTTGAACCTGTTTTCTTTTTAGTTGTTTCTTCTGTAAGGAGAATACCATTTTTACAAGTCTTTGTTTCCATTTGCCCATATATTTGTTGAGAGAGCACATATTCATATATACTTAAGGAATTTATGAATTGAATTTTATGGCAATTAATTTTAATCAGTAATTAATTTTTAACATGTTAATGCACATTTTGTTCTAACCTCTCTTTTTATTTTTAGTATGTATCTTAAGACAGACACACAAACATATACAATATTATATGTACACATATCTATGGCCTTCTTAGATTGACAATGTATAAAAGCTGGGCATTCTATGGATACTTTGTATTAATTTTTTTCAATGGACTTTGCAGGTGAATGTTTAAATTTAAATCATCAATCACATTCCATTAGGCTAATAGAATACACCAACAATTTTTATAAGAACATATTGCAAAGAATATAGAAAAATTAGTTGGTCAGTCCTTATTTTAGCAAAACAAAGGGTACATCTGGTTTCTGTAAAATAATATACAGTACATTACTGTATTATGTTACTTAATCTAATATTTAAACTTAAATCCATGAAGATAATTGTTATATTGGGAAAAACATTAGCTAAGATGTATAGAATAAAAACAATCATATAATTATTCCTTTTAGTATGCAAATTATCATGATTATATAACTAGAAAAATATATTTCGTTACTAGCTGATACGACTGAATCTAGATGATTATCTCTATGAGAGTAGCCCTGACAGACTATCTGCAGGATGGCATCTGTCTCTTTAGGAATCCATATCTTTGGTTATATAATGTTTCCCTGAAAGACCCAGCACGTTTTATGTGTGTTCCTAATATAAGCCGTACTTAAGAGCCTGCACAGCCACCTTTCAAATCAGACCATCTGTCTGATTACTCGCAGTGCCACTGTCACGAGGCAAGGCAGGATGGTGATACAGCTACCCCACCTGCCCCACACTGGCTTACCTCAGGGCCCCTGGAGCCAGGCCATCCACGCTCCGACACCTACCTCATGGTGGCTGCACTAGCAGCCATGTGCAGTAGAAGCTCCATGGCTGAAGGCCCACTTATTCTGCTTGCTCATGGTCACGACAGAACAGGAGGCCCAGTGGTATGGTGGTGCCATGGCCGTGAGGCAGATGTTGGGGCTTGGATGGCCTGGTAGTGGGAGCCCTGATATAAGCTGGTGGGGGTCATGTAGGGCAATTCTACTCACCTCCTTGCGATGGTGGCACTGGCAAGCCACGTGGCCTCCTGCCCAGTCGTGAGCAAGAAATGAGCCTCCGGTACATGGGGGGAGGGGGAGGGAGAGACATTCCTCAAAAATAAGCCCTAGTGCTTATTTGGGGATCCAAAAGAAATAAGACCTGGGCTTATTTTCAGGGAAACTTGGGTATCATTAAGAAAACTTGAGCAAAATGTAGGAATAATTGTTTGTATGTAGCAGAACACTATCTGAGGTATAGATGGAATGATTTCTTATAGTATGATAAAAATAAAGCTAATGTAAATTTTAAAAATGATTATTGTAGGTATACTGTATTAAGAATATGAGACAGATAATAATTCAGATTGTGTCCCCAAATACCCTTGTTGGCTCCAGCACATGAGGCATTTTGAAGTTTTTCTAAACTCTCTTCATATATTTTTATGTTACTCTTTTATTTAATAAACATTTTATTTAAAAATATATCTGTAACAAAAACTGAAAGAAATTTCAAAATTATTGTTCTGATTATTATTTCAAATGTGTTTAAATCATAGACATTTGAAAGACTAGTAAAGCTGAAATGAAAAATCACTTTTCATCCAATATCATCATACTGAAATACTCACCTATATAGACCCTCCTGCTGTATCTTTGCATTAACAATAACACAAATACATGCAGTGGAATAAGGTTGATGATGAAAACATAACCACCCCATGCAGAAACCTGTGAAAAATACAGTAAGCATTAAGATTTAGTTCATGTTTACCATGTTATCTTGATAAACATGAGTCACTGAAAGCTGAGAATTCAAGCTATATATAATAACAAGGTACTTTGACCCACAGAAAGAACTTATAAATCGAAGAATTTCCATCAGAAACTGATTAAGTAATATATAAAACAGGTTAGCTGAAAGTATTACATAAAATGATATATTTCAATCTTCTGACAGTTTTTATTCTATTGTGTGTGCAGTTTACAGCGCTCCATAAATTCAATTAATAATGGTTCATAAAAAATTCCTGATGTTATCATATTTTATGTTTATCTTTTGTTTCAAAATATTCTGGAATAAAACTCTCCCTTTGACTACATTGCCAATTTTCTCTAAGACAGCGACGGTATTATTACAATAGGATACAGAGGGAGGGGATAAGCATGACTAGTTTGAATGAAGACATATCATTTCAGACCCAGAAGTAACTCCAGGTATTTATTCCAGTTACTATAAGAACAGATTTGTAACAAAGTAATGGTGCCTATACCTACTTGCCTTTATTTTATCTCTATTACTGTGTTTCTTCGAAAATAAGACTGGGTTTTTATTTTGTTTTGACTCCCCCCAATGATTAGGCTTCTTTTTGGGGGGTGTCTTTATTCCCCTCCATGTACCAGTAGGAGGCAGGGGGGCAAGTAGCTCCTCCCACCATCCATAAAGCAGCTGCTTCATGGATGCCGCTCAGGCCACTGCCTCCAGCAAGCATGGCTGCTTTTGCAGCCGCAAAAGCGGCAAGAGCCCAACGACGTGCCCCACACCTAACAGTGTGATGGTCGCAGCAGGCCATCCCATCATCCATGAAGCTGATAGTCTGTGCTGAGCTTGAGAAAAGGATGGCAGACAGAAAAATCCCCCTCCTCATTTTCCTACAGTTTGCCAAAAAGGCTCCATTTTGAGCCTTCAGAGTTGCAATCCTGGGATACGCTGAACGCTAGGAATGGAAGCTTTTTGGTGAAAAGCAGGAAAATGGGGTAGGGGGGTTTTCTGCCTGCCATTTTCTCTTCAGTCTGTGTTGAGCTTGAGGAAAGGATAGCAAGCAGAAAAATCCCCCTCCCCATGTTCCAGCTATTCACCAAAAAGGCTCCATTCCAAGCCTTCAGCATTGCAATCCTGGGAGCCTTTTTGGTGAATGGCAGGAAAATGAGGAGGGGGATTTTTCTGCTTGTCATCCTTTCCTCAAGCTCAGAATAGACGGACATTCCAAATCGGCTCCTTCCCGAGCCTTCAGTCCTGAGGCGCAATCCTGAGGTGTGCGTCCTTTTCTCAAGCGACATTTGATTGCTTGAAATGAACAGGCTGTGTCCCGAGTGAAGGAACGAGAGACAGCTCCCGGCCCTCGCTGACTCAGCTGATCCGCGGGCTCAATTAAGGGATCGAGCAGCCAGGAGGTAGACCGGGGAAGGGAAGGACTGCCTCCTGTGCTGGCCACAGCCACCCCTTCACTAGGGCTTATTTTTGGGGTAAGCATATGTCAGACTCCCCCCCAGTTAAGCTAGGGCTTATTTTCAGGGAAACACAGTAACATTATTATTAAAGTTTCTAAGGTTATCATTGTTTTCGACAAAACTTTTTAAATTACCTCTTAATTAGGTAGGTTCAAAAATTTTATAGTATAGAACCAGTATGACTTTAATGAAATAACTATGAAATAACATCAAAAAAGAACTAAAATCCTTCTCCTTTCAATAATTCAACAAATGTAATTAAGTCAAAGGGCATGAAAGTGGTTAATAATACCAAATCATTATCAATTCCTTGTTGATCCTTGTTTAATAATTATCTGAAATTCCTGAAGAAAATCAGCTGCTGTAAGATCATCTCACCATTTGTTTCACTATTGGGCAACCCTGTCACTAATTAATTTGCAGAGACCTCTTATTAAAACTTATCAATTCACATTTCTGTTGAGAATGCTAACTCAGATATACAAGAACGGTCACAATAACATAAAAGCATACCAATTTTCTAAACTAAAGTTGTATTTCAGAACAAAAGTGTCTATTTATGCTACCATTAGTCTACTTTGTACCTTAAATACCTCTGCATTCTACAAAGCCAAGAGGTGAAGAGGAAAGTAGTATTGCTCGCCTTTTAATTTTTACCTTGCACAGAACCACCATGTTTGAAAGAATATGCTTAAAAGAATAAGAGAAAATAAATACTAATCTCTGCATTAGGTAGATTTTTCTAACTTAAATGAAATCTGAATTTTCAACAAGTTAAAATACTTGTGCTAAAACTTAATTTATTCATAAAAACGGTGTACTAATTAAAATGTGACCATTATAAAATTATTTTCTACTACTTACCATGTAGAAGTAGGATAAGCAGCAGCAAATAGTCCAGAAAACAGATCCAGTTTTCACTGACTTCACCTAAGAAAGTTAAGTTTTAATTATAATAGAAAATACATATCATGCAAATATAAAATATTCTATTTGAATGTTTTTAGAATTCACCATTTTTTCTAGATCAGAGAAAAATCAGCTGATCTGCAACAAAAATATTTGAGCTGTATCTTGGAGACACGTACTCATTCATTTTATTTTGAAAGGAAAAGCAAATGGCAGTAGAAAAACCATGTTAGCTATATTTATTTCTAGTGACTATTAGGACAAATTGAAATTATTTTGCATATGCAAATTTTAAGAAGAGTAAGCTGAATTTATATATAGTACTTACCCACAAGTAATACGTGAACTGCAGTGCAAATATAGCTATCCCTTCATTGTCAAAAGATCCTGCAACTGATCGTGATATGTAACCTGGTACAATAGCAATAAAACAGGCAGCTAGAAGCCCTGCACCCTGGTTCCACAGTTCTCTGGTAAGCAGGAAAGTAGAAATTGATGTAAGGCCGCTAAAAACTGGTGCAAGGAAGACACATACATCTCTTATATGGACAGTTATATTCAGCATATTCAAAATCCAATGTATAAGGCCAGCTGTAACCATTAGTCCTGGGTATACCTAGAAAAGGAGAGAAAAAACAATTAACTGTCCTGTTTCCCAAAAATAGCTCTATCCCGAAAATAAGCCCTAGTATAATTTTTATGTGTGCACCTAATATAAGGCCTACCCCAAAATAAGTCCTACCTAAGTGTCTGTGTAGCCAGCTGCCCACACATTCTGTCTGTTTACTGCTGACACAAGGTGAGGTGAGGTGGGATGGAGCTGCCTGCACTGACTACCTCAGGGTTCCCGCAGCTAGGCCATCCATACCCCAACACTTGTCTTGTGGCAGCAGCAACAGCACCCAAATGGGCAGCCAGCCCATTTCTGCTTGCTCACGGCTGCAATGGAGCAGGCCATGAGGTGAGGCAGGTGTCAGGATGTGGGTGGCTGGTGCAGGGTGCATGAAGCAGCTCCAACCCCCTGCCTCATGGTGGTAGCATGGGCTTGCCGCATGGCCCCCTGCATGCTGCGAGCAAGCAGAAGTGGGCCTGCCTTACATGGGAAAAAAGACACCTTGAAAATAACCCCCAGTGCTTATATTGGGGCCCAAAAGAAAATAAGACCTGGCTTTATTTTTGGGGAAACATGGTTGTATTTTAATACACACATACTCAATTGACATTAAACAGGAAACTTCTTCAAATAGTAAGAACACACACACACACACACACACACACACACACACACACACAAAATTATATTTTAAAAACATGAAACTCCAAGTATTTTACTAACCTATATAAACTGAAATCAAACATGTTTAGCACTATAGCAAAACAATGTACATATCAAAGAGTAAGACTTGATTTTTAAAAAGCTGCATTATTCTCAATATCAAGAACATAAAACATGCTAACTTCATGTCTAGATCAGTGGTTCCCAACCTTTTTTTCGCCCCGCACCCCTAAAGAAATTTCACTCGAACCTTGCACCCCCTGAAATAAATAATAAATAAAAATGCCAACATATAGCCAATATCCTATTATTTACCTGGACTTTTCTCACACCCCCTGGAATATCATCTCGCACCCCCAGGGGGTGCGAGCACCCCAGGTCGGGATCCCCTGGTCTAGATTAAAGAAAATTGTCTATTAAGAAAACTTTTCCCTCTATTTCTTCTATAGATATATTTAGAAGTTCAAATGGGCATAAGCTAAATTCTAGATAAAAGCATACAGAAAATGTGAAACTTAGCTGATTCAACAGCAATGAAAAGATAAGGTAAGATCTATGGCAAGTTAGATGTTTCAACTGGCTGATGAAAATATATCTGAAGGAAGGAGAGATCAGAGGATCATCCATTTATGCTCTGGATAGCTGTTCCTCATAAGCAAAGTAAATGAGATTTTGTACTTAACTGAGTTCCTTTGGAGCAATGGGGATATCAATGTCCCCTAAACCAGTGGTCGCCAACTGATGGGTTGCTGCCCACTTGTGATCCGTGAGAAATGTCACCCCCAAAGCAATTCATCCAGGCTGTACCGGAACACAAGGCTGCGTCACCCACATGACCCATGGGAACAGAAGGGCTCACATGGCCCGCCCACCCTTCGGCTGAGCACAAATCTTACCTTGAGTAGAGCCATACAAGCTGGAACTGAAAGGTAAGACCAACAGCGGGGGAGGCAAATCTTCCCCGGGGTGGCTTGCTGACACTGGTGGGAAATTCAGTTCCATATTCCAGAGCTGCAGTAACCACAGGACTGGGCCTTTGGTCAACTACTGTTCCAAGCTGAGGGTTGCAGTCAAATTCCCCACTCTTGCCATGTATCAATGGCAAATGGATGGAAGATGAAAGCATCTGGTGAAGGTACTGCATATTGTTCATGTATAAATGAGCATTTATCTATGTTATATGTACCTAAACTGAAATTTAATTTGCTATCAATAAGGGCTTTAGTTAATATCGGTTATGTAGTAACCTTTAGGGGAGATAACTGTATAATAGAGAAAGAGGGTAAAAGTGTTACTGCTACTTTAGAGAATGATTTATATGTGATACATGATGACCAATTGCAGATGGCTAACTCAGTATATAAGAATGGTAAGCCACATGATGAATGTATACATTTACTGCATGGATGTCTGGGGCACATTAATTTCAAAATGCTGAAACAAACTGTTAAATTGTCAGAGGGAGTAAAATTAAAACCCTGTAGCATGTACTTAAACTGTAATGCGTGTAATCAGGAGAAAAGCAAGGTTACTCCTACAAACAGACTGAATGGGTTTAAGACCAAAGAACCTTTAGAAGTTGTTTTTGCTAACATAATTGGTCCTAAGAAACCCAGTTTGGGAGATCCCTGCTATGCTTTGAGTATAATGGACCATTACTCACGGTATGATTTCTGCTTTCTAATGAAAAACAAAACAGAAATGTTCCAACATTTCTTTAACTGGCTAAGATTTGCAGAAAGGAAAATGAGACATAGGGTAATTACCTTAGTTACAGATAATGGGACTGGGTTTATTAATAATAGATTCCAAACGATGTTGAAATTGGCTGGTATCGAGCATAAGCAGCTGGTATCGAGCATAAGCGTTCTGCACCTTACAGATCACAACATAACTCGTTTATGGAATGAAGAGGGCAAACGTTACAAGCCATGGCTCGCGCGATGTTATCTGATTCAGATTTGCCTGAAACACTGTGGGGTGAAGCCATAATGTGTACCAACAATGTGGTGAACACAACAACTGGTGAATTGCCATTCACCCATTGGCATAGCAGAAAACCAAATTTAAGTTATCTACACACGTTTGGAACTCCAGGATGGGTGCATATTCCCTTACAAATAAGACTAAAACGGCAACACAGAGCTAGGAAATTATTTTTTGTAGGTTACGAGGCCAACCATAGATCGTTTAGATTCTGGGATCCAGACACAGCTAATATTTACTGTAGTGCTAATGCTAAATTTCTTGAGCACGTTGGGTAGCATAAACTAGAACAGGAATCCAACAATGATGTTGTTATCGACACCCAAGTAATCCCTAATGATGAGATAGTTAAACCATCAATAACCATTAAAGAGAACAGGCACAGGAGGAGGTAGAAGAACAGGAGCAGGAGAGCCCACCAGTAAGCCCTGAGTTGCCTAGACGTTCAACCCGTGTAACACAACCACCAGATAGATATCAGACTAGTGTTGTATGCCAAGTGAATACTGTTCCTGGTAACTATAATGAACTGAAACTGTATACTGCAAAGGATCAGGCTGCTTGGCAGGAAGCAATAAGGAATGGAAATCAAAGTTTGGAGGTACATGAAAATGTCAGGTTACCACCAGGTGAGCATGCCATAGAGTGTAACTGGATTTATAAAATTAAGACAGGTGTGGATGGGACTGTTACCCATAAAGCCAGGTTTAGTAGCACAAGGGTTCAATCAGTCAGCCAACGACTACGTAGAGGTGTTTGCATCTAGTCTAGGTGAGATTAAACAGTATCTTGGTTTGAAAATAGATAAAACCAAGGGAGGCTACAAGATCTCACAGGCAGATAAAATTAATCAGTTACTGAAGAACTTTAAAATGGAACTTTGTAAGCCGGCTAAGATGCCAATGACCCAGGAGTTTAGCCACAGTGATGTGCAAAGTCCTGTTTTTGATAAAGACATTTATCAATCATTGATTGGTAGCTTATCCTATCTTAGTAATTGGTCTAGACCAAACAAAGCATATAGTGTCAACCAATTAGCCAAGTTTAATGCTGAGCCTACTGAAAGGCACTGGCAAGCTGCTAAGCGTATGTTGAGATATCTTAAACAAACGACGCATTATGCATTATATTTGGAGCCTAAGGATGAACTAAATTTAACTGCATATGCTGATGCAAGTTTTGCTACAGACGTACCTATATGAACATAAATCAACTTCAGGTAAGGTGTTAATTGTATGGCGGTCTATTGGACAAAATGGGCGTTGGTGCTTACCTGATACGCCCTTTCTCGTCGAGCTGCGTAGAGCATCCAGATTGGGAGGTGCTCCAGTCTCTGCACTCACAGGCTGAGCTTTAATTTAGGAACGCTCCTCCCTGTCCATGTGACTCCCTCGGAGCGTTCCCCAGTTTTACGAAGACGAGCAGACAAACACTATCATCTCATCCTGACCATTGTAAAACATTAATCTCTGACTCCTTGATTCATTGGCCGAAACAGGATTCCCCACCAGACGGCTAAATTAGGGTGGGGCTGGATGCTCTACGCAGCTCAACGAGAAAGGGCGTATCAGGTAAGCACCAACGCCCATTCTCCATCGAGCTGCTCCGAGCATCCAGACTGGGACGTACCAAAGCGTGGCTTTTCCTATGGGAGGGACTCCGTCTGGGTCGGAATCTCCTCTGATTTCTAAACAACTTGTTGTAGGGCTCGACTGACAGAGGACACTTCGACTGAAGCAAACCATCCATCTTGTAAAGAGGAATGAAAAGTTGACAGGGACGACCAGATGGCCGCTCGACGGGTGTCATTGATCAATGTCTGAGTTGCCCAAACTGCTGAGGTAGCCGCACTCCTTGTGGAATGTGCGGTTATTCCTCTGGGAACAGGAGCATTTGAACCAAGTCGGCCTTGGAGAGTGTAGCTCTAATCCAACGGCCTACAGTCGACGGGAATACTTTGATACACAGCGTCTTAGGTTGAAATGAACAGCATAATGATTCCGACCACCTGAAAGGCTGAGTGCGGCTGATATAATACGAAGCGCACGCCTGACAATGAAGAATGCCAGTGTCTTTCCCTCTCTCTCTCTCTCGAGGGACTGGGACAACCGTTAGGAAGGAAAAAGTTCCTGCGATCCGTGAAAGGCTGAATTAACCTTGGGCAAGGAAGGAAGGGTCCGGTCGTAGGACCACCCGATCAGCGTGAAAAACGCCGAGATCCTTCTGGCGGATAGAGCTGCGATTTCAGATATCCGACGAGCAGATGAGACTGCCACTAGAAACACTAGTTTGAACGTTAGGCATTGAAGTGATGTCTCCCTTAAGGGCTCGAAGGGAGGATTAGCAGAAACAGG